TGTATATTTGTAACATTATATTTTTGATTTGTTTTTGATTTCAAGGTTGAATGACGGTTGTGCCCTGAACATGAAGAAAAGCTGAAATTGTTCTGCGTCACAGATCAGCAGTTAGCTTGTATCATATGCCGAGATGGGGAGAGGCATGAAGGCAAAGTTTAAACCAATCAAAGAAGCAGCTGCATCCGTGAGGAGGGAGTTGGAGAGTTTCTTGAAAGGTTTCTGATGTATATCTGTGCTGTAGAGAGCCGGAACAAACAGAGGGAAGAAATAACAAAACTAAAGAGAAGTCTAAGCAGCTGATGACCCAAATCTGCAGACAGTTTGAGGAGATGCATCAGTTTCTGAGACAGAGAGAAGATGAGATCAAGAAAGACCTAAAGACAAAGAGGAAGAGGCCCTGGGAGAAGATGAGCGAGCATTGAATGCTATGTGAAACAGCTTTGTCTGAAAGAGAGGCTGGAGGGAAAGGTGACATCAGTTCTGAAATTCCCAGACTATGAGAAGTTCTTAAAGAGCTGGACTGAGGAAAACAGCATGAAGACTCAAAGGCTCATTTAAACCCAGAGGTGGAAATCTCCAAGTGGTGAATCCTCCACTCTCTTTGGGGCCTTATGAAAGTCACCTGCAGTTCTTTATGTGGAAGAGATGCTTCAGGTGATCCAGCCCCGACTGAAGAGCTGTCACTCAAAAGTGACAGCAAACATAACAGTGTCTAAAATGGGAGGAATTTGATGTATAGCCCCAACATGTCACTGATGTAACAGTGGATACCATGGTCTGATTTAGGCTACGTTCCTGTCCTACTGTGGCAAGTACAGGATTCCTATGCACATTACACTGAGGACACCTCAGTACGATATGCATCTGCATTCAGCACCAATCAGTTCACCTCTGGGCAGCATTACTTGGAAATCGAGGTAGGAAAAAGGGACTATTGGAAAGTAGGGGTAAAAGATTATTTCCTTTGCTATAATGAAACCAAAATATGTCACATCTAGTCAAGACGCAGATGTTAACATTTACAGGAACCCCTCAAAAGATTGGGATTTACCTCGACTGCATGTCAAGGAGTTGTCTTTCTAGCATGCGAAAAACATGACACATATTCACACTATGAGAGAAAGGCTCTCTGTCAGTGCCAGCGGAAGCTTATTTTGAATACAAATTCAGTAAGGGAGCAGATATAACCCCGCTGAGAGTGTGCTCTTGTTCTGAGGTCTGGATAATGGGGCTGTGGTAAAACATCCAGATGCTGCTGCAGATGGCCGCCTCAGTCCTTAGCTTTACTTTTGACTACTGTTTTTGTTTATTTGTTCCACAATCATCCTGGTCCCCAAGAAATCTCCATCACAAGACTCAATCACCTGTTACACCTGATATTTTTGTTGATAAAGTTCTTTGAAAGGACTGGTACTGACCCAGACTAAAGCGACATCACAGACGGCCTGGGACGCGCCAAAGAAGTCCTCCGGCCGGTCCACACACTCACAAGCTCACTGCGCCCACCTCCACCTGTTGTTTGATCACAAACTCCACAAACACAAACTTACACCAACAGACAAAGCAAGCAACGGTACTACACACTACACGATACTAACGACACCTCAGAACAAACCTGTTTAACATGTCTGCATGCGACTGAAGGTGGAACAGCTGACAACTCTACTGCAGTCACAAATAACCTGGAGCTCAATACACTCAAAACTGAAATATTACACTTCTTCAATACTAGACAGTGCTTAACATGATTTTTACTCTCTTCAATTTTGCGTCTTTTTCATTTTTTGCCCTTATACAGTACATGACGTTTTATATTATTCCTCTGCATGATGTAATGATAAAAAATATATTGTATTGCTGTTAACATGTCTTGGACAGGATATACCATTAGTATGTCTGTGATATATAGAGTTCCTATCGAGTCACAAATCTCTCTCTCACTTTAAATGCAAGTAATTGGTTTCAGCTCAGTTCAAACTCATGTGTTGTCAATGCGGCAACAGGAGCCATGATGCCATGGTAATGGCAGCTGTAGTTAGTTATAACCTTACATTATAGTGTCATTGATTTCTCTCCTCATGTAATTTGTAACATTATATTTTTGATTGTTTTTTGATTTCAAGGTTGATGACTGGTTGTGCCCTGAACATGAAGAAAAGCTGAAATTGTTCTGCGTCACAGATCAGCAGTTAGCTTGTATCATATGCCGAGATGGGGAGAGGCATGAAGGACACAAGTTTAAACCAATCAAAGAAGCAGCTGCATCCGTGAGGAAGGAGTTGGAGAAGTTTCTGCAAAAGGTTTCTGATGATATCTGTGCTGTAGAGAGCATAGGGAACAAACAGAGGGAAGAAATAACTAAAACTAAAGAGAAGTCTCAGCAGCTGATGACCCAAATCTGCAGACAGTTTGTGGAGATGCATCAGTTTCTGAGACAGAGAGAAGATGAGATCAAGAAAGACCTCAAAGACAAAGAGGAAGAGGCCATGGAGAAGATGAGCAAGGCATTGAATGCTGTAGAAACAGCTTTGTCTGAGAACAGAGAGCTGGAGGGAAAGGTGACATCAGTTCTGAAAATCCCAGACTATGAGAAGTTCTTAAAGAGCTGGACTGAGGAAAACAGCATGAAGACTTCAAAGCGCTCATTTAAGCCCAGAGGTGGAAATCTCCAAGTGGTGAATCCTCCACTCTCTTTGGGGCCTCATGAAAGTCACCTGCAGTTCTTTATGTGGAAGGAGATGCTTCAGGTGATCCAGCCCCGAGCTGAAGAGCTGTCACTCAAAAGTGACAGCGAGAACATAACAGTGTCTGAAGATGGGAGGAATTTGATGTATAGCCCCAACATTGTCATGTCTGATCAGAACAGTGGATACCATGGTCTGGATTTAGGCTACAGTTACTGTCACTACTGTGGCAGTGCACAGGATTCCTATTCACATTACACTGAGGACACCTCAGTACGATATGCATCTGCATTCAGCACCAATCAGTTCACCTCTGGGCAGCATTACTGGGAAATCGAGGTAGGAAAAAGGGACTATTGGAAAGTAGGGGTAAAAGATTATTTCCTTTGCTATAATGAACCAAAATATGTCACATCTAGTCAAGACGCAGAGTTAACATTTACAGGAACCCCTCAAAAGATTGGGATTTACCTCGACTGCATGTCAGAGGAGTTGTCTTTCTATGATGCAGAAAACATGACACATATTCACACTATGAGAGAAGGCTTTCCGTCAGTGCCAGCGGAAGCTTATTTTGAATACAAATTCAGTAAGGGAGCAGATTATAACCCCCTGAGAGTGTGCTTGTTCTGAGGTCTGGGATAATGGGGCTGTGGTAAAACATCCAAGATGCTGCTGCAGATGGCCGCCTCAGTCCTTAGCTCTTTTTGACTACCACTGTTTTTGTTTATTTGTTCCACAATCATCCTGGTCCCCAAGAAATCCTCCATCACAAGACTCAATCACCTGTTACCCTGATATTTTTGTTGATAAAGTTCTTTGAAAGACTGGTACTGACCCAACTGAAGGACATCACAGACGGCCTGGACGCCCAAAGAAGTCCTCCGGTCCAATTCAACTCAGTGTTCAACGACATCATCTCACAAGTCCTCCGGTCCACACTCACCAAGCTCACTGCGCCCACCTCCACCTGTTGTTTGATCACAAACTCCCACAAACACAAACTTACACCAACAGACAAGCAGCAGGTACTACACACCACGATACTAACGACACCTCAGAACAACCTGTTTAACATGTCTGCATGCAGACTGAAGGTGGAACAGCTGACAACTCTACTGCAGTCACAATAACCTGGAGCTCAATACACTCAAAACTGAAATATTACACTTCTTCAATACTAGCAGTGCCTTTAACATGGATTTTTACTTCTTCAATTTTGCGTCTTTTTTTCATTTTATTTGCCCTTATACAGTACATGACGTTTTATATTATTCCTCTGCATGATGTATGATAAAATATATTGTATGCTGTTAACATGTCTTGGACAGGATATACCATTAGTATGTCTGTGTACAATAGTAGAGTCAAAGAAAGTTTCCTGTTGATCCGTGTCTTGTGTTACGTTTACTTTAAAATAATAATTATGAACAAAAGTGAAGCAAAAGTAAAAACAGTAATGGAGGGGTAATCTATAACCTATAGTAAGTAATCTGTACAGGCCTTAAGATAAAAATAACAACTTTTGTGTTACTAAAAGTTTCCCTCCAGTCAAACCTTTGCTTTGCTTATTATTCCGTCACTTGGAAGTTTGTGTTTCACTGTGCAGACTGTGGTACAGCATGTGCTGAGTGTGGGGGAGGGGAAGTGTCTCTGTGTTTACCTGAAATCTGACTTCAAGCGTGGATAATACAGCAGGGTTTCGTGTTTCATTTTGTGTACTTTGAATGACTCTATGAAAAAAAGGCATAACAAATGAATAAATAACAAACTAAATAAATAAACCCTAAAGAGGCATTTTAAAAAACTTTCTGATTCATTTCTGTGACATATGCTGTAAGGTATGTCCATGTCCAGGCCATGCAATAAAGTATCGCCATTCCTTTTTATTGTAAAAGAATCGCAGTTGATGCTCAAAAAATAAATAAAATCTGTTCCAAAAACAATAGTGATGCATTTTGTAATGCTACCTGTTGTTAGTGATTCTGTAACTCATCCTATGTGGCCACTCTTTCGGAAAGAATGTATTACCCTTTACAAAGTTTCCCACACTTTATCTGAGGCCAGTACGAGGCTTCAGCGGTCTGATTTAGAAAAATCAAGTGGATATCCTCTGAAGTAAGTTTGAGTGTTCTCCAAGCATCAGTTACAACTTTTCGCAGCTAGAGTGCGACATTGCACCTTTGTATTGGTCATATAAGATAAACAATATTCAAGAGCCATGAGCTGTAGAATAAAAATGATCATTTTTACAGGTTTTTCTTTGTAAACTGTGTATTTACTGGAAGTATTGCTGACTTATTTAAGGGAGATAATCTTGCTGTAAAAAATGTGGAATGAAACCTGAGCTCAAAGCTCAGAGTGACATCACTAAAAAGAGGCACAGGGTGGGGCTACTCTGGGAAATAGGAAGGGATTGTTTGATATGCATAGTCAGTCTGTTTGGATGAGCAAGGCAAAACAAAAGGAGCCATGGCATCTGCCTCTTACACTGAAGATTTGACTTGTTCAATTTGTCTGAAGATCTTCACTGATCCTGTAATCCTCCAATGTGGTCACTCTTTCTGCAGAGAATGTATTACGCTCTCTCTGAGCTCACTGCCCGAGTGTCCACAGTGTCGGGCAGCTGTTGCAAAAGAAGGGAAATGTCTTGTGACCAGTCACATTTTGAAAAGTCTGGCTGAAAAAGAAGCTGAGAAGTTGAGGAGAAAGCATGGAGATGAAGAGGTAAGTGTGTGACATTTTTCATTGCTTTTGTACACATTCATGTTTATTGATGCCAGTGGTATTAGAGAAAAATAATAGAATAAACAAGCCCTGTACCCTCTGAAATGTCTTAATCATAATAGTGGGCTGCAGTTGTTAGTTGATAAAAATAAAATTAATTGGAAACTATTCTGATAATCAATTTATTGTTTCAGTCGTTTATAAAGAAAACAGTTGCCTTTTTGTCATATATCATATTTAATGAAATGTTGGTAAGTCAAAACAAGCATTTTAAAGATGTCACTTTGGGTTGTGTGAAAAAAACTAGGGGCTTTTTTTCACTATTTATTGACATTTTATACACTAAATGATTAACTGCATCAATCATTTCTCCCCTCCTTTTTTTAATGTAACATTATATTTTTGATTTGTTCATTGATTTCAAGGTTGATGACTGGTTGTGCCCTGAACATGAAGAAAAGCTGAAATTGTTCTGCGTCACAGATCAGCAGTTAGCTTGTATCATATGCCGAGATGGGGAGAGGCATGAAGGACACAAGTTTAAACCAATCAAAGAAGCAGCTGCATCCGTGAGGAGGGAGCTGGAGATGTTTGTGGAACAGGTTTCTGATGATATCTGTGCTGTAGAGAGCCTGGCCAACAAACAGAGGGAAGAAATAACAAAAACTAAAGAGAAGTCTAAGCAGCTGATGACCCAAATCTGCAGACAGTTTGTGGAGATGCATCAGTTTCTGAGACAGAGAGAAGATGAGATCAAGAAAGACCTGAAAGACAAAGAGGAAGAGGCCATGGAGAAGATGAGCGAGGCATTGAATGCTATGGAAACAGCTTTGTCTGAGAACAGAGAGCTGGAGGGAAAGGTGACATCAGTTCTGAAAATCCCAGACTATGAGAAGTTCTTAAAGAGCTGGACTGAGGAAAACAGCATGATGACTGAAAAACACTGTCTTAGGCCCAGAGGAGGAAATCTCCAAGTGGTGAATCCTCCACTCTCTTTGGGGCCTCATGAAAGTCACCTGCAGTTCTTTATGTGGAAGGAGATGCTTCAGGTGATCCAGCCCCGAGCTGAGGAGCTGTCACTCAAAAGTGACAGCAAAAACATAACAGTGTCTGAAGATGGGAGGAATTTGATGTATAGCCCCAACATTGTCCAATATCAGCACTACAACACATTATTTGGATCGTCACTGTCATCCTGTCACTACTGTGGCAACAGTAGGGTCAAACCAAGTTACACTGAGGACACCTCAGTACGATATGCATCTGCATTCAGCACCAATCAGTTCACCTCTGGGCAGCATTACTGGGAAATCGAGGTAGGAAAAAGGGACTATTGGAAAGTAGGGGTAAAAGATTATTTCCTTTGCTATAATGAACCAAAATATGTCACATCTAGTCAAGACGCAGAGTTAACATTTACAGGAACCCCTCAAAAGATTGGGATTTACCTCGACTGCATGTCAGAGGAGTTGTCTTTCTATGATGCAGAAAACATGACACATATTCACACTATGAGAGAAGGCTCTCTGTCAGTGCCAGCGGAAGCTTATTTTGAATACAAATTTAGTAAGGGAGCAGATCATAACCCCCTGAGAGTGTGCTTGTTCTGAGGTCTGGGATAATGGGGCTGTGGTAAAACAGGATCTGCAGATCAGATGGCCGCCTCAGTCCTTAGCTCTTTTTGACTTTCACTGTTTTTGTTTATCTGTTCCACGATCATCCTGGTCCTCATCAAACCCTCCATCACGCTACTCATTAACTATAGACCTGTTACCCCTGACGTTTGTGGTAATGAAGTCCTTTGAAAGACTGGTACCAACCCAGTTGAAGGACATCAAAGACCCTCTGCTGGAGCCCATGCAGTTTACCTTCAGGGTAAACAGGCCAGTGGATGATGCAGTCAATGCAGCACTGCACTACATCCTGTAATACCTTAACTCCCCAGGGACGTAGGCAGGAGCCTGTTTGAGGATTTCATTTCAGAGTTCAACAACATAATCTCACAAGTCCTCTTGTCCAAACTCACCTAGCTCACTTTGCCTGCCTCCACCTGTTGCTCGATCGCAAACTTCCTAAAAGACAGGAAGCAGCAGGTGACGCTGAACAGCCGGACAGTCAGCACTGGTGTCCCAGAGGGATGTGTGCTCTCCCCACTGCGCTTCTTACTCTAAACTATCGACTACACCTCAGGAGAACAACCTGTTAAACACCTGAAAACTGCAGACCACACAACAGTGATCGGGCTCATCTGAGACGGTGACAAGTCTGCATACAGACTGGAGGTGGAACAGCTGGCCCTCCAGGGCAGTCATAATTTACCCTTATATAGTACGTGGTGATTTATGTTACCATACTTCTCTGCCTGATGTTTAATAAAAGCTACTGTATGCTGTTAACATGTCTTGGACAGGATATACCATTAGTATGTCTATGTACAATAGTAGAGTCAAAACAAGTGTCCTGTTGACCCATGTGTTGTGTTACATTTACTTTAAAATAATAATAAAAACAGTAATGGAGGCATAATCAATAACCTATAGTCAATAATGTGTACAGGAATTGTTCCTTCGCTTGTAAGTTTGTGCTTGACTGTGCAGAATGTTGCTGAGTCTGGGGGAGGGGAAGTTTCTCTGTGCTCACCTTAAATCTGACTTTAAGGATGCTCCAGCAGGATATTATGTTCCATTTTATGCACTTGGAATAACTCTGTGCAAAAACAGGCAAAATAAATCAAACATTTAGAGGCATATTGCAGCATTTTTGATTCATTTCTGTGACATATTCTGTATGGTAGCACAATCTATGTAATAAATAATCACCATTCTTTTTTGTTATAATGGAATCTGATACTAAATAAATAAATAAAATCGATTTCAAAAACAGTAGCGACATATTTTGTAATGCTGCCTGTTGTTAGTGTTTTTAGGTCACTGTGTTATGAGTCACCACATTTGTCCATTTGAGAGACATTTGTCAGTCTTCTGGAACCAGATTTGATCCTGAGACGTGTATGAAGTGTTTTGGTTGTATTAGTGCGTTTTGAATGCCAGCTTAACTGCTGAGCTGCATGTTGGTAAAGGGAATTGTATGAACTGATCGGAAAAAGTGAACTCAACATATACTGTATAGAGAGAGAGAAAAAAAGCTCCACCCAACAACAAACAGCAGTTTCAACATCTCACCACTAGTGTGTGACATTACACTAATCTATGTAGCTCTGATGAGTTCTCTAATGCTCCTGCAAGTTAAATGTTTAGAAATAGTATTTTTCCCACTTTGTAGAAGAGGCCTGTAAATCTGTTGGGGCTCCTAATGTGGTATTCTGGGTATTTATCTTCCTCTGAAGACTTGGAGTGACTACTAAAGCGAGTGATACATGGGGAGTGGCTTTTCCAGGAAACTGAAAGTTAAAAAATAATGCCAAGTCAGCCAGTCTGGCAGAACACAAAGAACAACATCAGTAATGGCGTCTGTTTTTTACTCTGAAGACTTGAATTGTTCTATTTGTCTGACGATCTTCACCGATCCAGTGACTCTTCTCTGTGGACACTCTTTCTGCAGACAATGCATTACAGATATTTTGAACACACGGCACCAGTGTCCACAGTGTCTGACAGCTGTTGCAGCAGAAGGGAAATTTCTTCCAACCAGCCTTATATTGAAAAGCCTCGCTGAGAAGGCCAAAGACGCCACAAAGATGAAGGAACAGCATGAACCCCAGAAAGCAGAAGTAAGTCGGTGGTATTCATAAGGCAATGTAATTCCTTATATGTGCTCATAGGTTACCAATTATTTAACATTTGTTGACTCAGGTAATGTTATAGTGTCATATATTTATTTTCTGTCTGCACTTTTACTTTTACATTTAGTCCTTAGATTAAAAAAAGTAATTTTTTGTCATATTTAGTCCGTCATCCTTTTTGTTTTTAGTCTCTGGACATTTTAGTCTTGTGTTAGCCAAAAAGAAACACATTTTAGTCTAGTTATAGTCCACAAAAATACTTGACATTTTAGTCTTTTTTTTTTGGTCATTTAGAATATTAGTTGACAAAAATGCTGTGAACATTTTAAGAACAAGACCAGAAAACTCCCTGGGAATCCAGCAAAGAGAAAAACCTGCAAAAAAAAAAAACCCTGTACAACAGCCCTGCAATAAATCCTACCCTTATAATAATGAGTTTTGTCAGGCCTGTGCCAGAAAGGTGTTGATTTTATTCTGTAATTCTATAGGACTTAGTGGTAGTGTTGTACTAGAGTGTGTTATACAATAAGTGTTTTCAATACTTGTACACTGTCATTTAAAAAGCAGACTTTAATCAAGCCTAAACCCAATCTTCCACATAATATGCTGCATTTTAACAGATGTCACATATTTAACTGTATGGACCATCCAACATTGACAAGTGCTTGACTATCAAAATGTGTCAGGCAATTAAACTGTGCATTCTCTATAGCATGAATAGCATGTTTAATTCAGTCAAGTCAGGGGGTCCCAACCTTTTCCAACTCGGGGCCCACTTGAAAATCTCAAAAATTGGTTTGTAGCCCACATCAGACCCCAGAGCAATACGGAGGCCAAATAATGCCTTCTCAAAGCACATTTAGATTCTCCAGTTTTTTAGCATGGATGTAATCATTTAGCACCCAATCAGACTGATACAGTAAACAAGCCAGTGACAAAATGAAAGTCTCTATCATTGGCCCACCTCATTTTTATTTATTTTCTCATTAGCCGGGAGTTAGGCCGAGTCAGACACTGCCAAAATGGTGACGGCAGAGCAGCCCACTTCAAAACCACTCTTCAGAAACCTATGGGTGACGTCACAGAGGCTATGTTCATACAGTCTGTGCTTTCTTCTCATAAATTAATTGATGTAATTTGTTCTCAGGTTTATCAGAGAAGTCTACACCACAGACTGTAGATGCTGCTGGCAGTGAGAACCAGGGTGACAGATGTCTCATGAATGGGTCAAAAGCAGGTCGAACATACATAAGGAATGAACATCTCTCAGTTGTTGTATTCATTTTTTTTTCTTTACACAGGTGGCTGAGTTGTGCCCTGAACATGAAGAAAAGCTGAAATTGTTCTGCGTCACAGATCAGCAGTTAGCTTGTATCATATGCCGAGATGGGGAGAGGCACGAAGGACACAAGTTTAAACCAATCAAAGAAGCAGCTGTATCTCTGAGGAAGGAGTTGGAGAAAGGCATGGAGAACCTTTGTGGCGATATACATGTAACAGTGAGCTTAGCCAAGACACAGAGGGAAGAAATAACAAAAACCAAAGAGAAGTCTAAGCAGCTGATGACCCAAATCTGCAGACAGTTTGTGGAGATGCATCAGTTTCTGAGACAGAGAGAAGATGAGATCAAGAAAGACCTGAAAGACAAAGAGGAAGAGGCCGTTGAGAAGATGAGCGAGACATTGAATGCTATGGAAACAGCTTTGTCTGAGAACAGAGAGCTGGAGGGAAAGGTGACATCAGTTCTGAAAATCCCAGACTATGAGAAGTTCTTAAAGAGCTGGACTGAGGAAAACAGCATGAAGACTCCTGAACATTTATTCAGGCCCAGAGCAAATGAGCTCCAAGTGGTGAATAATTCTCTCACTTTGGGGCCTTATGAAAGTCACTTGCAGTTCTTTATGTGGAAGGAGATGCTTCAGGTGATCCAGCCCCGAGCTGAAGAGCTGTCATTCAAAGGAAACAGCAGAGATATAACTGTGTCTGACGATGGGCGGAGTTTGTTTTGTACTCCCCAAAGCAACCAACGATCAGATCCTTTTGGCAATCCATTTAACCAAGGCTTCGTTTTCTCTAGCTCCCACTCATTCACTAACTCGCTTGACCAACGCATGCTCAAATCTGTCATTGGCACAATCAGTGTCAATGAGTTCTCTTCAGGGCAACATTACTGGGAGACAGAGGTTGGTAAAAGAGACTATTGGGAACTTGGGATAAAAGATAATTTCCTGAAATACGATGGACAAAAATATTCTACCTGTTGTGCAAATATAATCAGAGAGCTATCATTTGCACACAGGCCTCGGAAGATTGGGATCTACCTAAACTGCTCATCCAAGAAGCTCTCCTTCTACGATGCAGACAACATGACACATATTAACACTATGAGCTCCAGTCTCATGCCCATACCACTGTCAGCATATTTCAACATTAGATGCAGAACACCAGATCCTAACCCTATGACTGTGTGCTGGTACTGATATATGGAACAATGGGCCAACAGGACAAAGTCAAGATAAATATGAAAAATATCAGTTTTAATTGGCTTAGTGCCTTATTCTACAGGTTTCACATTTTCTTGCGTCATAAGATCTGTTGGCCCGTGCACGGCCCATTAGAAGGTTCTGAACATGTTCTGACAGAGTAAAAGTAAAACTTTTGTCAATATAGACACTGTACCACGTTAGATCGGTTAGAGTCTCTAGATTTCAAATACTTAGTTCATTTTACGCTAAACATAAGCACATAAATTTGATTTATTGAAATCTACCATCATCATGTACCATCATCGTGTACCATCATGTTCCATTCCTCCATTTTTGATATTCATTTAGTCCGTAAGGGTCCACAGATCACAAAATCAAAAGATTTTCTTCATAAAAAGTATTCCAGGTTATGAATATCGCCAAGAGAAGTCCTCCACTCGCTTCTCCTCTCTCTTTCTCCGTCTGGCTCCATATGTTGCTGTGTTAGCAGGTCTGCTATTGTTTGTTAGCTTTCTGGCTACAAAATAAAGGCCTCCCTATAAAGATCGGATCAGATTTCACTTCTTGGGGGTTGGGGGAAGACAGCAGCGAAACGTTACAAAGTGGGAAAATGCCACTTTTTTCACAGCTTTTCTGAATGACTCTCTTGTAGATAGGCGTCTCCCCTGACCAATCAGAGCAAATTAAGGAGGGTGTGCACTTCAGAGCCACGGCCAATAGGCTGTTTTCACCCCATCACAGCCCTAAAGGAAATCAGTAGGAAATATAGAGCTAGTAAAGTGTTATATTATATTTTCAGTGTTTTAAGGAGCAGAAAATATCAAAAAATCTGGCAATTTAAAAACAATAAGAACAAAACAAACAATATAGCGTGGAGGAATGTGATAAATAACCTGCTTTAACCAAAAAGTTGCATGGAACCAGGGGAACTTAATCTCAGCTGTTTTAAACACAATTTTCACACGAGAAACAACAACATAGGGACGCTGTTCTCTGTATTTACTGTTGTTTATCAGTTTGTTTGCTCTCTCTCTCTTTTTTAAAAAGAACTTGACTCTTTTTCAACAAGAAATGCCTGACCCTTGTCCCAATATCCACACCAGAGTAATTCCTTGTTTCACAAATGAAACTGTGCAAATATTATGGTTGCCATGGCGTTTGCATTCGACCAATCAGCATCTGTCGATCCTGCAAACCTTTGCCCTCAAGTTTCTGAACCTTTTAACCAGCACGTCATTACTTATTTTTAAGTCTACCTTTCTAATATTTCACAAGTAACAGCTAAATTACTTTGAATTTCTTCTCTCAGTTTGAATGATGTGATTTTAAATGTTGACTGTGACTTCATAGTTTGTGATTCTGGGAGTTTTACACTGTTGTACTGAAGTGGTTTTATCTGCTGTCCACATGAGGTGTTCCATGTCTCTGTGTCTCCACAGGAGGGTGGTGTTTTCCAGAGTTTGTTATGTGTCAACAGACCTCTGCTGTATGAGGCTGGTGTACAGCAATCAGTCTTTGGCTTTATTTCAATGTATAAAAAAATATGCTTAATAAAAGTTTACTGGCTCTCTCACAGTCTCAAAGAATGTGTCTCTGTAATTTAAATAAAAACAGGAATAGGAAATTGAACGTCCTCCTGCACAGACTGAATGGTGATACTGAGAAACATCTCCTTCAATGAAAACTGTATTGAATATATCAACTTAAAGCTATTTAAGTAGCTTTAAGTTGATATATTCAATGGAGATAAATAGATTTTTATAATTAGGATTTTCTAGTATTCTCCTCAACAGTTCCTCTGTTGTCAAAGATTCCTATATGGAATTGATGGTGCGGGGGTGGTAAGTGACCAGTCAGTAGCAGCATCAGTCACTTCTGTGCTCTTGCTGTGCTGCGTACAGTGCAAGTACATCCATCTGTCTTCATATAACAATATAATATTTGACAGAAATATTTGCTGTATCCATCGATTTTTTGGGCTCTGGGAAAGTTTGTTTTTTCTGATCATATAACAACCAAAACATTAATTGATTAATTGACAAAATTGTCAGCAGATCAATCAAAAATGACATCACTAGCTGCAGCTCTAGTGATTTTATTTTATAAAACGTGATTTGAATATATTATTTCTGATATGTTAACATGTACGCAGCATTTTAAAACAAATTAAAAACAGTATCAAAACAAATTTACATTTGGGTATTTTAATCTACAACAATTCATTACATTGTATTAACTGGTTGTCAGTTTTGTCTTTAAGCGCACCCTTTCATTTCCTATGTCAGCTTGTCATTTCATTACCGTTATAAAATGTTATATATTATCTAATTTAGGTAAACGCTGGTGCTCAGTCATGAGCAGTGAGAGTGACAGAGCATTAGTTGTTGTAGAGATATGTTTTGATGTCAATATAGAGTTTATCATTCCATTTTAGTAGTCTTTCTGTGGCTGTGGTGGTTGAGTTAGTCTTTTACCTTTTCGATATTAACTTCCATAATAGATACCTGCTTTCTTTTCATTCAGGAAATGTTTTAGCTGTTGGGTAATTGAACAGTATTAAAATCAATGTGTGCTGAAGGCTAAATAATTGTATTAGCAGTGCTGGACTAATTAAGCAATTATGTACAAGTACTTCCACACCACTAAACTTCAAAAGGGAAAATGTATTTGCTGTTGCATTTGAGTTGTCTGAACACATACAAAAAATCTTTGTTAGCTTAGCTCAGTCACTAGCATAATAATAATAACTAGAAAATTCCAGGGAAATTTTGAGTGCCACGGGGGCTACTGCCGGGATGAGTATATGATTTATTTCCAGTGTTCAAAAGTCACCCTGATCATATTCTGGTTTTGAGAAATGTCTTGATATAAAAGACTCTCATATAAAACAATGTCACGTCCCTCCATCATGTATTATGTGGGAAATAGCTCATATTCTGTATTGTTTTTTTTAATAAAACAAGAGGCAACATGTCTTCAAACTGGCATTTAAAGGGTTAAAATCCTGAAAACTAATACACATTTGGTAGGTTTGAGCAGAACTGAAGTGGTTTAAGAGATGTATGCAAAAAAAGCAGAAAAAAATATTGATATATGATGATTTTATTGCATTTTCTTTGGGTGTCCTTTTTTGGACGCGAGGAACCCCAGAGGGTACAAAATGTGTTACCAGTGTATAATAGACCTGTAACAGTAACTGACATTAGATTTTAAAAATATGTCAAAAAAGACACTTTCTTGCAGAAATCCATACCTTCAGCTGTAACACAGCCAAAATGATCAGCAAATCAAAAAAGAAAAGTGATGAAAATGTCCAAAAAAGGACAGAGGGACCCCTGAGGGTTAATAAATCCCATGAACCGCTATTTAAATTACCACTATTATGTTTTTTCGGTGCTAAATTTAACATTACCGGGGAGGAGAGCAACGCGACTAGAAGTGACAGCGAGAGAGGGCTAGTAAAAAGACACTTTCTTGCAGAAATCCATACCTTCAGCTGTAACACAGCCAAAATGATCAGCAAATCAAAAAAGAAAAGTGATGAAAATGTCCAAAAAAGGACAGAGGGACCCCTGAGGGTTAATAAATCCCATGAACCGCTATTTAAATTACCACTATTATGTTTTTTCGGTGCTAAATTTAACATTACTGGGGAGGAGAGCAACGCGACTAGAAGTGACAGCGAGAGAGGGCTAGTAGCTTCTCCTCTCCTCTGTCTCAGCGGAGAC